CCATGGTTGTATATACAAGAAGTGAATGAAAGGCGAAGGAAACATCACATTTCAATCATATAGGTTCAATGACTTGAGACAAACTCACACTACAGCAACAGTGACTGAGGTAAAATTGAATGTACACTGAGTAAAAGGTTTAATTTGTGATATCCCAAATCTAACTCAGCAGTTAGCAGAATTGTGTGGGGTTTTAAAAATTTTCTTTAAATGTTCTATGTACAGTACGTACAATAAAAAACAGTAACATTTGTAAACATGCAGGAAAAAAAAAAAAGTATCTGGCCACACAGTTCCCTTGCTGAAACCCTTCAATAATATCCCATTGCCCATCCTTCTCCCTTCCACAAATATTTACTGGGCGCCTCCTATAAACCAGACAATGTTATGAAACCTTCAGCTAAACCAAGGTCTGTAATGAGGCCCCCAGGGGGTTTGTCAATCTGATCCCTACATATTCCCTCAACTTCAGGTCACATCTAAATTCTTCAGTCTATTGATGAGAACTGCTTCTTGCTCCTTGAACTTACCATTCTGTCCCTGGCCTCTGTGTCTCTGTCTACAATGCCTTTTCCAGCCTCATCCAACTCTAACACCATGGATCCTTTCAGAGTCTAGGAGTCAGTCCTCTGGAAACATCCCTTAGCCACTCTCCACTCCCTCCCCTTACTAATCACTTGGGTGCCCCGGCTCTGAGCTTCTATAAGCCCTGTGCCCATTTACACCACTGTGCATCTTAATTCTATTTTTGTTTATTGTATCAGTTTCCTCAACTATACCTTGAACTCTAGAAGGCAGGGCTGGGTCTTAATAATCTTTGTATTAGAGAAGGTTTCTAAAACTGCTACCCAACTCCTGACATCGAGTAAACATGCAGTGAATTTGTTTAATGGTTTAGCAAATAAGATGACTAAGAGAAGAAACAGACTGTCTTAATGCCAAAAGACATCAGATTAAGACTGACATTAGGGACACTAATGAGTTCACCTTCTTTCAATCACAGTTCTCCCAGTTGATATGGCTCCAGAGAATGCTGGCGCCAATGGCATTATTCATAACAGCCACAAGTTATTTTAACCACAACTCCCATAAGACTGCTTTGGACTACCCAGCTTTCCTCCCTGATTCATGTTTTATAAAACTATCAGACCAAATGAATTTCATATTTAAGATAATTTTGAAAAGGTAGCCAACAGCAATCCAGTCAAGTGAGCCATGACTTAAATGATATTACACATCTCTCTCTAGGAGGTGGCTGAATGGGGAGACAAAAATCCAAACTCAAAAAAAAAAAAAAAAGGCCCAATAACTCCGCATTACAATGGAGAGCCTTAAACAGCAAAGTATTATAATTGTTGCTGGATGCAAGGAAACTGTACAAAGAGGGTCCAAAGGATGGATTTACATAGAGAGAAACAAGGGGTAAGAAATTTCCATGGCAACTTCTGTTATCATAGACCTTGGGCAATTTTCCAGCTCTCCTTGTGTGAGGTTTGAAATGCTCCCACCTTAAACTGGCAGTAGACTGGCTTTCATATTCCCCTCCTTTCAGGAGCCATGGGACACCCCTGAGGACTGCCAGTCATTTACAGATGTCTGAGATTCTATTCCAGCTTTTTTTTTTTTTTTCTGAGACGGAGTTTCACTCTTGTTGCCCAGGCTAGAGTGCAATGGCGTGATCTTGGCTCACTGCAACGTCCGCTTCCCAGGTTCAAGCGATTCTCCTGCCTCAGCCTCCTGAGTAGCTGGGATTACAAGCGTGTGCCACCATGCCTGGATAATTTTTTATATTTTTAGTAGAGACAGGGTTTCACCATGTTGTCCAGGCTGAATGCAAACTCCTGACCTCAAGTGATCCACTTGCCTTGGCCTCCCAGAGTGCTGGGATTACAGGCATGAGCCACGGTGCCCAGCCCTATTCCAGCTCTTATCTTTAAGAAGTCTTGTTAATTTACTCAACAAATGTAGATTGAGGAACTTCTGCCTCAGTTGCTGTTGAGTCTTCCATTGTGAAGCCTATATTCTGACACACAGATCCCAAATAGCTCATATTAAAACTATGGGTGCCCTAATGAACACTAAAACCAAATGCAAAGTTCATGATACGAAATTATCAACATGTCTAAATTTTTTTCCCAAGGAATTTTAACTTTAAAAAAATTAATACATAATATTTATACATATTTATGGGGTCCAGGTACCATTTTGTTACATGCATAGGATGTGTAATGATCAAGTCATGGTATTTGGGTTATCCATTACCTCACGTATTCACCATTTTTGTGTGTTGGGAACACAAAATGTCTAGACTTACTCCTTCATTAATTTAAAGCTAATATTTGTACAATAAATAGGAATTACCCTCCTTAATCAATGCCTCAAAATGTCTCTTCTCATGGCTCTCCCTCCCCCTACCTCTGCCCCAAGGGGTCAGTGTGAAAGGCATAGGACATATTTTAGTTGTTGGGGGATGGCTACAGGCATTAGTTAAGCACAGGCCAAGGATGCCAAGTCTTCTCCAATGATGCAACAATCCCACACAATGAAAAACTGTCCCATTCAAAATGGCAATAGCGTCCCCACAAGAAATACCGCTGGTCATGAGAGTAAGCTCAATATAATAGAGAGTCAATTCAACAAAAAGTTTTCAAATGCCTCCTGGGTGCAAGGCAAAGTGCTAAGAGATACAGAAATAAGACACAATTGTCTATCCTCGTAAAGCTCATAAATAGAGAGGTCTCCAAAAGAGCCATAATAACGTGCCAAAGATGTATTAATAACCACTATAAGGGAGAACTTCCTTCTAACATGGGAAATCAGGGAAAGAGTCATAGACGAGACGGTGATTGAAAGGGTATCTTAGTCCATTTTCTGTTGTTTTAACAGAATACCACAGACTGGGTACTTTATAAATACATTTCTCAGTTCTGGAGGCCGGGAAGCATGATGCCAAGAGCATGGCACCGGCATCTGGGGAGGGCCTTCCTGCTGCCTGATCACATGAGGAGGTGGCAGGAGTGTTCTCTATCTTATAAAGCCACCAATCCCATCATGGGGTTCCCACCCTGATAACCTTATTTAATCCAAATTACTTCCCAAAGACTCCACCTCCACAAACCATTAACAAGAATTTGGGGATAAAGTTTTCAACAGATGGAATCTGGGGGACACATTTAAATTATAACAAAGGGTCTCAAAGGGTGCATAATAATAAGACAAATAGCTATAGTGGACAGAGAGGACGATGAATCAGGGGAAACACTGTTCGGCAAGACCTACAAAATGGAATGCAGAAATGTTTATTAACAAGCTGGTATATATGAAGGACTTGTGGGGAGAACCTTCTTTTTGTTGAGAAGATGTCTTGCTAAGTACCACAGGGGAAAATATCTGAGTCTGAAGGGCTTTACACTGAGTGGAAATGTCTTGTATTAGGCAAGAGGAAGGATTTGCTTGTTGCTCCAGAGATGGAAAGAGAAAGATGTGAAAACGTGAAAGCAGCACCAAAAGACAAAGTTTTATTCAACTAAGTGAAAAGCAACCATGGGAGAATGACTGGCAGCCGAGCCTAGGAAAATATAAGAAACTTTCTTTGTTGTTTCTGAAAATTCCAACCAGTTCTAACTGCTTTTGTCAGGTTACTTGGTTTTTTAAATTTGCAAAATCATCATCATCATCGACAACAGCAGCAGCCACTCTTCAGCCCCAAAATGAATATTGCTGAAAATAGTGGTTTCATCTCTTACCTGCCTTGAAGTCCTTTGTGGCCCCAGAAAAAAAAAAAAAAAAAAAGAAAAAACCAAATTCTCCATCTCACTGACATATATCCCAGTATACTTCATTCACTGGTCCTAAAATCTAGAAATTTAGCAAGTAGTTGTGTAAGAAGTGGTTTATTCCACTGAAAATCAGTTTGGGGAGAATCTGGTCAAAGCCAAATCCCTGTCTACATAAAATATGGTACCTCTGAGTTTAAGTTTTATTGGCTGAGTGCTACATAAATGCAATAAAAGTTTTCGATACTGTTTTCCTTGCAATAAATATCCACTTTAGCAAATTGGAAAGGAGAAGGAAATGGGGTTCTGAAACGTGTAAATATCTGTAACTCAGAACTCAGCACGGGTAGTCATTGTGCAAACCCGTGCAGCCTTAGGTCACAGCCCTGGAGCAGGCCGTTGCAGCTGCCTTGTGAGAAGGTTCTTCACCAGAGGAGGCTGGCAGCACAGTCTATCCAACTGGAGGGTCAAGGCCAGTTCACTGCTGGAGGTCATCCTCCCTGTCCTCCATCCCCTTTGCACCTTTGCTGGAATGATCACCTAGAGATGTCAGTTTGAAAAGTCCCAGTGTCAGCCTGAGACAGTATAAGCTGATTGCTTGTTAACACAAAGTGAACATGCAGAATTACCTTCAAAATGTAACTAGTGGCCTTTTGGGTAAAGAAGTCCTGGGGGACCCCACTCACAAACTGGGATGCCCTCCCTGCCTACAGAAGGATATGAGAGGCTGCTCAGCTGTTGCCACTGAGGAGATTTAATGACTTCCCTGTGTGTGCATAAAACACACACCCTCTGTCACACACAGACACCTCTCTGTCACACACATAGGACAGGAACTGACTTCCCTGTGTGTGCATAAAACACACACCCTCTGTCACACACAGACACCTCTCTGTCACACACACAGGACAGGAACTGACTTCCCTGTGTGTGCATAAAACACACACCCTCTGTCACACACAGACACCTCTCTGTCACACACAGGACAGGAACATTCATCATCCAGAAATACAGTGACTTCTCCCCTAAAAAGTTAGCCCATTTGTAATTTGGGAGAAGAAAGGATAGGCTGCTGGGGAGAGCTGACTGTACTCTGAGTACCCTCAGTGGCAGAAGGACAATGGAAAGCTGTCCCCTCAGGCACAATCGGTTTTAGGGACGGGCCGAGCTGAGACGGTCTTTGATAGGAAAGAAGACCAGGGTGGGAAGCATGAGTTTCCTTACCTCCTCTCCCACCTCAATGTCCCGGACGGCTCGCAGTAAGAGGTGGGGCCCATTGAACACAATGGAACAGTTGGGGTCACAGCTGTGATTGAGCAAAGAGATACTGGAAGAAAAAGGGGGAGACGGTCACAGCTCAGCAGGTAGAGTGGAACAACTCAATCTAACAAATGCAGTGAGTAAAAGAGACCTTCCTTTGTGGGGCAGGAGCAGGTGGGGTTGACGGGACACCAGGGACTCAGTATTCGGGGTACATTCACAGAAATGTCACTCGCACACTTCCTAGGAAGTGCAATTCTCCCCAAGATGCAGGCTAATTAGGGAATTCTATCATTTAATAATTTAAAAATTTTCTGAGTCCTTTTTGGGGACTGGGGCATAGTTGATTGATTAGATAACAGTCAATAAAGCAGCCAAACATGGTCAGAAAAAACCTGACTCACAAAGAAATACTTAGAGGGCTGGGTGCGGTGGCTCACGTCTGTAATCCCAGCACTTTGGGAAGCCGAGGTGGGTGCATCATTTGAGGTCAGCAGTTTGAGACCAGCCTGATTAAACATGGTGAAACCCTGTCCCTACTAAAAATACAAAAAATTAGCCAGGCGTGGTGGTACATGCCTGTAGTCCCAGTTACTCAGGAGGCTGAGGCAGGAGAATCACTTGAACCCGGGAGGTGGAGGTTGCAGTGAGCTGAGATGACACCATTGCACTCCAGCCTGGGTGACAGAGTGAGATTCCATCTCAAAAAAAAAAAAAAGAAAGAAAAAAAAAAAAAGAAGAAAAAGAAAAAGAAAAAAAATACTCTCAGACATAATGGGATGCAACAGCCAAGATACCACTGACCTTTCCCATAGGATCTCATTTGTTGAGCTCCTTTGGAGAAATGATGGCCTTTGCTAGAACATCCACATTGAAGAATAATTAGGAGTATTTGCTCCTAAATAGAGAGCTGATGTTATTTTGTCAACTACATCCTGATGCATCCTGGGCCACGGTCCAGTCGTTTTGTTACCTTGGAGGTATATTTCTTACCGTCTGGGAAACACACTGGATTTAAACTGCTATGAGAAACTGACAATAACTAGAATGAGCACTTATATGTAGAAACACTTTCTTGCATTTGAGCATGTTCATCACATTTCATCCTCACAACGATCTTATGAGGATCATTTACCGGTAAAGAGGCTGCTGCACAGAAATTCAATGGCTTGCCCAAGGACATACAACTAGTAAGTGGCAATGGAATTTGGACCGGGGCCGGAACTCAGAGCCCACGCTTTGAATCATCCTATGCTACTGCCTTTTGAGAACCACCTACCAGTAGACCTGACCTACGGTTAATCACAATGGTGAGAAATAAGAAAAAAGGCTGAATTCTTAGGTTCACAATTATTAGAAAGTCTAAATTTGCATTTGGACTCTTATGGCATAAAAACAAAATGAAACTGGGCGTGACTATAGTGCTTGTGGGAAGACAGTTTCATAGCTCAGTGGGAAGGTTCAGCTCAGCAACGGCTGGAGAGCGCGTTCAGGGGCCAAAGCCTCAGAGTTTTCTTGCCCCCTTGAGTGAAGGGGCTCAGAGTACGCCAACGCGAAAGACAGAATGAACCCAACTGATGCGTACGGCAAATCCGGTGAAATAATCACGTGCTTCAGCTCAGGAAATCGGGGAATAACCAAAAATCAGCCTGATGGCTAATTAGCACTCACCGTCCTCAACTTCTTCACCCAAAGTCCCCCTGAGAGTAAGAATTTAGTTCTGAGATCTGCCCCTTTGTTAATACCACAGCATATAATGTGGGATTATAAAATTGTTTTCCTTAAACTTAACATTTTCCATTTTATTTTTGGTAATTTATTGCTAAGTTTTAAGCTTGGCTCTTGAACAAGCCGCTGAAGCTGCCTGTGTAACTGCCTCTAAAGGGCTGGGGATTTGGGTGGGAATGAAAGTGTGTCTTCCAGTAAATGAAGCACCATACACCATACCTAGGATACAGGCCAACACCGACTTCCTGCATCTCGGCATTACAGATGGTGAAAGAGTTGCAGATCACCTGTAAAAACAAGGGGGAAAACCATCAATATTACCAGAGTCACTTAAGAAACTTCGTAGCCAAGAGAATGAAACTTTTCAAAATCAAATGTAGGAGCATCTTAGTAGTTGTGTAAGAAAGATCCAAGCCAATCATGGATGCTCTTTGATTTACAACAGAATTTATCTGGGATATACTCCCCCTAACAACATGAGTTGGTTAAATGCAGAAATACCAACTTCCTGGGGGCGGAAAAAAAACCAGACTTAAACCAACACGAAACCATTAATTTCAGTATCATTATCCACTACACCCAAAGTTACAGTTACATGAAATGTTCGAAATTCAGAATACAAATAAGCTATTTATTGAAAACCAGACTCCTACAGTATCATGATTTTTTCACTCAAACTGCATGCAGTTTCCAAATGCCACCGTGTATCTGTTGAGTAATGGCAACTTGTCTCTTACTCCCACAAAAGGCAAAGTATTGGCTGGGCGCGGTGGCTCACACCTGTAATCCCAACACTTTGGGAGGCCAAGGCGGGCGAATCACGAGGCCAGGAGATCAAGATCATCCTGGCTAACACGGTGAAACCCCGTCTCTACTAAAAATACAAAAAAGTAGCCGGGCGTGGTGGCGGGCGCCTGTGGTCCCAGCTACTCAGGAGACTGAGGCAGGAGAATGGCGTGAACCCAGGAGGCAGAGCTTGCAGTGAGCCAAGATCGTACCACTGCACTCCAGCCTGGGCGACAGAGTGAGACTCCGTCTCCAAAAAAAAAAGCAAAGTATCCCGAGTGAGCCTGTAATGCGATACACGTTGATGAAGACCACAGGGCGCACCGGAGGTCATTTAGTCAAGCCATGGCATTTACTAGGAGTCCCATCACTAGGTATACGGCACAGTCCTATGTCTTACGCGGGGATGGAGCGAAAGCAGTAAAAGACACAATCGCTGTGCTCAAGGAACTTAAAAACCTCGTTTGTGAAAGAAGGTTGATGTATGAGGTCACACAGAACCATGGAAAGAGCACTGGACCAGAATCAGGATATCTAGATCCTGGCTATAATCACCCCTTCAGACAGGTGCGAGGAAAAGAGCAGTGAAGAACAAAACCAAAGTCCCTGGCCCTGTGGAGCTCAACTTCTAGTTGAATAGACAGATTAAAAAAAAAAAAAAACCCAACGATAGAAAAATGTCACTTGTAGATAAATGCCAAGGAGAGAAACAAGGTCCTTGCAGAGAACAAAAGTTGTCAAGAAAGCTCTTTAGGATTAGTTGTCATTTAAGCAGTGACCTGAAGGGACTGCTGAAATGAACGTGTGTATTTATAGGCGATAAAGGTTCATATCAGGAGAAAGACCAAGCGTAAAGGCCCTAAGCTAGGAATGCCCGTGGTTACAGGGGAACAGCAAAGAGGCTAGTGCGACCAGGGCAGAGTGGGTAAGTAGAGGGGCAAAATACGAGCTCAAAGAGGGAGTGAGGTCATTTAGGGCCCTACCGCCACGTTTGGGTTTTGCTCTGAAGGAGACAGAAAGCCACTGGATTTTGAGCCAAGGCGTGAAGGCGTCTGACTTCTGCTTTCAAAGGATGGTTCTGGCTGTTGTGTAGAGAATGGGCCGTACAAAGGTGAATGGAAGAGGAGAAAATGGTTAGGAAGGCACTGCTGGAGCCCAGGTGGTAGACAACGGGGGCTTGGAGGTCAGTGGTGGGAGAGGTGGGCGACACAGCCAACACGACTCACTGCAGGACGGCATATGGGTAATGAAAGAAGTCAGGATAATGCTTGAGTTTTGGGCCTGAACAAGTGGAAGATCATAGCTACCATTTATTAAGATGAGGAAGAATTTAACAGGAACAAGTTCAGTTACAAGGAATGGAGGGGAAGTCCAACAGTTCTGTTTTGGTTAGGTTACATTTGAAATCCAAGCAAAGACTAAGGACGAACAATTGGAGTTCACGAGAGGCCTTGCGCCTAGAGATATAAATTTAGGATGAAACATGACAAAGGTCATCAAAAAACAGAAAAAGGAGAAGAGGCTAAACATTTGAGATGAACCAGAGACTACAAATGGATGCTGACTTGTTATAAAATTTCTGTGGAGGAAAAAGTGATGACAAATTTCTCAAATCAGGTTTACATGATAGAACACGAAGCATGAAAACGCGTTGAGTCCTTTGAGACTCTTCCACTGCTCCAAACAGCTCTTACATGAAATCTGGTGCAACGTATCAAGATTTGGCTTTTTTTTCCTCTAAATATGTGATAAAATTGCAGTTTCAAATCAAGAGAAAAATTGTACATACATATTTGTAAACGAGTACTAAATTGCTTTAAGGACATCTATTTTGCATTAAGCAGCAACAGTATATTGTCTATATATACTTATGTATAAAAGAGATGGTAAAAATATAGGACAAAAACTCCTATGTTTAATTTTTGAAATTTTAAACATTTTCAAATGTGTATAATTTGGGGAGGGATATATGTTTTAACACATATTTTACAGTATAATGAGAACTTCAGTCGAAGTAATACACCAACAACAAAGCCAGGTCAAACACATCTCATCTGTTAACTTCTGAATCAAACCAGCATGGTTTTTTCCTGAACTATGAAGCAAATTAATGTTTTTCAAAATAGGAAAAAATCTTTATCAGTTTTATTCCATTGGTTTATTCTGATGGATTCTGATGGAATGTTTAAGAAGGAAAAGCTAACAAAGGCAAATGTCAGCTTGTCTGTCTTCCACTGGGAAACTTTTCCTGATTTCCTAAGATGACTTTCCTCGTTAGCAGCATTTATCATACTGGATCATTATTTGCCCATTTACTTGCCATCATACACAACTAGATCATAAAATGCTTGCAGGGCAGACATAGTGTTTCATTCATCACTCTAGTCCTGTACCTGGCACAAAGCCTGGCAAACAGAAGACACTAAAGAATGTATTTCTCTTTTTTAGAGACAAGGTCTCACTCTGTCATCCAGGCTGGAGTGCAGTGGTGCGATCATGGCTCACTGCAGCCTCGAACTCCTGAGCTCAAGCAATCCGCCCTCATAGCCTCTGGGGTGTAACTGGGACCACAGGCCAGCACCACCACCCCTGACTAATTTTTTAAAACTTTTTGTAGAGAGAGGAGTCTTGCTGTATTGCCCAGGCTGACCTTGAACTCCTGGCCTCAAATGGTCCTCCCGTCTCAGCCTCCAGTGGTCCTGCCGTCTCAGCCTCCCAAAATGCTGGGATTACAGGAGTGAGCCACAGCTCCTGGATTTCATCTATACTAGTCTGAGTGTTATGTGTTAGTCTTTCTCGGCTAGTATACAGAAGGTTTAGTGTTTTGCCTACTCTCACTTTTATTTAAAATGCTGGTTCCATTCAGTACTATCTCAATTAATAACCTGACAGGAAATATTTTTGACACACACAACTGAGAGCAACAGTGGATATGCGGAAGCTCTCAGGTTTTTTTTTTTTTTTAAATGAAAGAGTAGGTAGATAATATGTCCATGTGTGCCCAGTAACTTGAAAGGAATTGCTCTTTATATCAATAATTAAAAGAATGGAAATAAAGCCCAGAAATAAAAGTTTAAACATTTTTCAAAGTATTCTCTTTGTGAAAACAGTTTTCTTAGGGAACTGCACAGGTTAAAACAGTAAATGAATGCATATGTCACAAAAAGATAATATTTAGAAAAGTATATTAATGGTACTATTTTAATAAAAATAAATGCAACTGGGTTAATGAATTCGTTCTAAAAATTAAGCTTGAGTATTACTTTAGAAATTTTTACCGTTTCTTAAAACTGTAAAACATATTTAAATTATTTTATTATTGCATGTAAAGTTATATTTACTTTTCATAATTTTTCCTTTAAACTAATTGAAAGCCTTCATATCCAACATTATAGTTTTTCTAGACAACAACTCTAGTGAGTTGTCATTGAGTCTCTGTGTTTTATAAAAACAACTACAGTGAAATTTAAAATGTTCTGTGAACCAAATTCTTATGTCATTTGGTTCAGAGTCTAGGTCCAGAATCTGACATTTGAGTTCTGAAGTTAACAATTCCCCTGCAGATTAGACACAAATAGCAAAATCAATACCAACACATAAAGTGAATACCTCAGAAACCTTATAAAATAAGTGTATTACCATGTATTCAAATTTCACATTTTTCTTGAAATTCTTAGGACTAAAGGCTTTGTATTGTAGCAGCAGTTAAACTGAGATATTTGCAACACAAGAGAAATCACTGGTATGCCACTATCTTGCAATGGTAAAAATCAGAACAGCCATAAGAAAACTCACCACCAGTCAGAGCTGAGTAATTCTACACCATAACTCAAGAACCCAGCCACTTCCCAGCCCCGTCCCCCAATTACTGAATTCTACACAGCCTACTTCAAATAATCCTTCCGATTTCCAAATATATGTATAAATTTTAAAGCATATTTAAAAAGAAGGGAATTCCGTTTCTGAACACAACTGTACAGTGGTTTCTTCCAAGACAATCTGCATCTCCTTTAAAACTTCTCTGTCTAAAATGTTCAGCATTTTTAAAGCATATTTAAAAAGAAGGGAATTCCGTTTCTGAACACAACCATACAGTGGTTTCTTCCAAGATAATCTGCATCTCCTTTAAAACTTCTCTGTCTAAAATGTTCAGCACAATGGTTGGCACACAAGACTTTAGGCACATCAAGTTTACTAATTAGAGGGACTAAATGTGAATTTTCAAAACGGAGTTTAATGCACTGAGTTTTATTAAACTCTGGACAGAAAGACTGGAAGGAGGAAGAGTTGACAGGTATGAAAACCAAAAGCAGAGGTTTTTACACGACATAATTGCCTCCGCTCCCCAGCCCCCCCACTCCTCGAACTAATATTTCTCTAACTTTAAAAGCATAATAAGTATTTTAATCAGGGTATATTTTTCTCTACCCATAGAATATGACAGGTTATTAAGTACAGATTTTTTCCAAAATCTTCTCATAAACCTTAAGAGATTAAAAAT